GCTCTTTGGAGGAAAATATGGGCTTGGTGGGATCTTAAAGTCCCGCGTCTATTATCGGTATCTGATTTCAAATTTCTAATCAAGCAAGTAGGCAACCATCGAAAGGTTGGTGTGATGTTTTTATCTGTTTGCGCCGTGGCACTTTGGCAATTATGGAAGTGGCGAAATGAAGTTTTTCATGCTGTTGACGACGCGAAACTTAAGAAGAAAGGTGATGACCCATTTCCTTGGGTTCAAAATTTATCCAAGCTTTGGATGGGGACCAGGAATCGCAATTTCAATCTGAATTGGGATAATTGGACCTCTTCTCCTTATCTTTTTTAGCCGCTCGGATCTTTTGTGGTTTGCTTGTTTTTGGTTTAGGCCTCTTTTTTTGAGGTCTTTTTGGTCTTGTTCCCTTTTGTTATTGTTTCGTTGTATTGGACTCTTGTTTCTGCTTGCGTCTAGCTTCTTGCTGGACCCGTTTTTTATCTATTGGTTGGCTTGGTGAGGGTGATGGCCATGCCGAAGCTCTCTTCCTTGTCCTTCTTTTTTGCCTTTCAAAAAAAAATTAGTTACCTTACCTAACAAGACTTTAGTCCATCAAAACGACATTGTATGTAAAAATCTACTCGGTAAACGTTAACCGGATAAGAGTCATCACTTTCATTTACTAGGTAAGACTTTTGGTGCTTGCTTTTACTCTTACCAGATGAGATTCTTAGTCCTTAGCATGGTCATTAGATAAATGTTTACCTGAGTAAGCATTTGGTAAACGGCCCCTCAGTTGTAAAACGTGTTTCAAGCTTAATTGTTTTCAACTTAATTAAAAATAAACGACAAAATTGTTGTTAGGTTTGTTTAACAACTTTCAGGATTTTCATTGTCACTTACTTATCAGATAAAATTTTAGTCTTTCAAAATGGTATCATATGCAACAATTTACTTGACAAAAGTTAACCATGGTAAAAGTCATTGCTCTCACTTACTGGGTAAGATTTTCAATCCTTGTCTTCGCTTTTATTGGTAAGATTCTTGATACTTAACATATATACGTTCGGTTTAACAATATGACTTGATAAACGCTTATTTAACTAAAAAAGGAAAAAAAAAGTTTCATGGGAGCTTTAATGGAAATGGGCATGGGTCAAGAAGATGACAATTTTGCATGATGGCTTGATGTAACGTTTGGGCTAAAGAGCAAAATAAGCCCTTTGAATTAATAAAATCAACTTGTGCCTCTAATTTAATTATTAGTGTTTTATTTATTTGTATTTTAGCATGACATTTATGCTTTGTGTTTTGGTCATGAATTGAGTTATATCAATTTGTTTGGAAATTTTGAAAAATTACCAAAATACCCTTACGGAGTTAGATTTACAGGCCAGCCGTATTTACGACAAATTTATCTTGTAAAAGTTCAAAAAATTTGATGAACTTACGATTCTACAACCGAGTGTTTTTTTTTTTTTGATAAAGTTTATTGTCTAATACAAAAGTTTGTCGATTTAATAGTTGAAACATAAACTACATTCGTCTTCCCATAATGATAAAAAAATTTGTAGTCGTAATCATTTATCAATTCTATCAATCGTCTTTGTCTCATGTTCAATTATTTTTTATTGAAAAGATGTTGCAGAACTGTTGTGATCTGTATAAATCTGACATTTAGTTCCCAACAAATAATGTCTCCAAATTTTCAAAGTAAAAACGACTGTTGCAAGTTTTATATCATGATTCTTCAGTTGTCTAGAAGCATAAGCAATGACTTTTCCCTTGTTGCATCAGAACACAACCTAGACCCAACTTTGAAACATCACTAAAAACCACAAAACCTGTTGTCCCTTCTGGTAACGACAGTTGGCGTGCTGCACAATCTATCTTTCAATAACTGGAAAGCTTTTGTTTGCTCTTCTTGTCATTCATACTTTTACATTTTTTTCTTGTCAATCTTGTCAGCAATGCAGCGATACATGAGAAGTCTTGTATAGACTTTCGATAATACGCAGCCAAACTCAAGAAACTTCGGATCTCTGTAGGTGTTCGCGGTGTCTCCCAGTTCTCAATAGCTTCAATTTTCACAGGATCAACCTTCACACCTATTTATGAAACTATATGACCCAATAATTGAATTTCTCTTAACCAAAATTCACATTTCGACAGTTTAGCATATAAATTTTCTTTCTTCAAAAGTTCCAGAATTAACTGAGATGCTCAGTGTGTTCTGCTTCCGATCGAGAAAATAAGAATATCGTCAATAAAAACAATGACAAATTTATCAAGATATTTATTACATACTTTGTTCATTAAATCCATAAAAGCATCTGGTGCATTCGTCAGACTAAAAGGTATTACCAGAAATTCATGATGCCCATACTTGGTGCGGGAAACAGTTCTGACTATATCTTCATCCCGAACTTTCAGTTGATGATAACCTAATCGTAACTCAATTTTAGAGAAATAGCTAGCCCAACCAATTGAGCAAATAAATCATTGATTCTGTGTAAAGGATATTTATTCTTTATTGTCAGCTTGTTCAATTTTCGGTAATCTATACACATCGGCATCGACCCATCCTTTTTCTTGACAAATAGAACTGGAGCACCCCAAGGAGATGCACTAGGTCTAATGAAACCTTTATCCAACAATTTATTCAATTGTGTCATCAATTCATTTAATTCAGATGGTGTCACGAGCTACTGGTGCCGCTCCCTGTATTAGACCAATTCAGAACTCAATTGACCGATCTGGAGGTAAACTAGACAATTCATCTGGGAATACTTCTGGATATTTATATACTATTGGAATAGATTTTTGTTTTGTTTACCTTTTTCCTTTTTGGAATCAACCACATACGCTAAAAAGCTTTGACACTGAATACACTTTCTAGCATTTAAAACAGAATTACGTTTGTATGACAATCCCGTCGATCACCATAAATCACAATCGGCCCCCTACCTGGTAGATCAATACGTATCATTTTTTTGTTACATACAATACTTGCCTGATTTTCTAACAGCCAATCCATTACTATTACCACATCAAATTCCCTTATCGACATAGGGAATAATTGGATTGGTATAACACACTCTTCTATTTCAATTTGACAACCATTATAAACTTTGGTGACAGAGACTTGACTATCATTAGCAGTATCAACCACTAATGCACAGTCCAATGACACAGGTTATAAATATAAACATCCAACAAATAATGGTGACACAAAAGAATAATTCGCACCAGAATCAAATAGTACATTTGCATGTACGGAGTTTATAAGAAACGTACTCGTCACCACATCTGGAAATTTCTCTGCTTTCCCTTTGGACATTTGGAAGGATCATCCATTTGCCCTTTCTGGTCCGCTTCTTCTGATACCCCCACGATTACTTTTGAGTGTTGCCAACAAAGTTTGATCTTTGATTTCTCAGTTGTGCGCAATCGTGTTTAATATGATTTGGGGAATTACAGTGAATACAATGTTGAGACAT